TGGGTTTGGTTTTTCTCTCACTGAAATGTTTCAGATCACCAAACAGACAAAGATAATCAGAGTAAAAACAACATGATAGTTTTATTTATTGGRGAACAAAGCTCCAAACCAACCTGACTCTGTGTAACCAGTAATAAAATCATAACAATCATAGAAGACGACTGGTCTGGGCCAGTGCACCTGTCAAACCCAGGTGTCCTCAGGTGAGCTCAGGCAGGACAGAAACAGTCTGAAGATGATCACTGACAGGATTAGAGGACACTAACTCTATGCTCCTCAAGATCTTTCATTCAAAAGCTCATAACTTTAAAATCTCTYTAATCAGAACCCACAGATATTCAGTCAGGTTTTAATTTCAACCTTAAATGTCCTCCAACATGAACCAAACAGCCAGACATGAACAGGATATAAACAAGACAAAAGCAGGACACAAGTACGAGGTAAATGGGACAAAATAGAGACATTAACAGGATGTAGTAGAGATTTAAACTGAACCTAATCAAGATATAAAAAGGGCATAATCAAAATATAAACAGCATGTATTTAGGACGTATTTGAGATATAAACAGAACGTAACTGAGATGTAAACGTAATGGAGATTTCAGGGTTCRAGAAATCCTATCGCCCGACTGCYCRGGGCAGGTAAAACCCATTGTCGGGCAGGTGGGTGTGTCCCAATGCCTGCCCGACCGGGCAGGTAAACAATTTCTTTTATTTTTTAATAGGGCCATTTATTCAAAAATTTCTGAAAATAACTGAAGAAATATGGCGTTTTAAAACACGTAAAGAAAGAATAAATTGTCAAAATGTCCCCCTCCCGCTGTAGAATTTACATCTTGCCGTCGTGTCGCAGGATCACAAGTTCCTCCCTCCTTCCTGCTGCACGTCGTGCAGAGAGAAGCTTTAACAACCGTAGCTTTTTTCACACCCGTGTTTTCGGAGGAAAAAAATGTTGTTGTTTTTTTTAATGTATTGATACCCGCAGAGATGAAAAAAATATGTGGGAGTTCGTTCAGTCATAAATCCATCTTGCTAATGTCGGCTTCTGCTCTGATGAAGATGATGATGAAGATCAGAGGGCAGCAGCAGTGGGTTAGAGGCTCATTGTATGGCAGGCCGATCTATCATTTATTTGGCTTCACCACACTTATATTCTAGTTATCTGAAATTGTTTTATAACTAAACTAGACATATTAGTTATTTAGGATAAAATAATAAAATGTTTTCTTTTATTATTTTGTTTTATTTACTTTTTTTTTAAATTTGGAGAGCTTTCCAGCTTGAGATTGTTTGTTTGTTGAAGTTGATTTTTGAAAATAAGGGGCAAATATGATAAAAAGTTTTTTTTTACTTCACTCTGCACCCTTTTACTTCAGGGTATGATTTATTTATTTTTTTAATGCTGTACATAGATGGTTTTGTTTTTATGAATGAAAGAAACAAATAAATAGACATCTCTTAATATATTTTGACAATTCAAAATACCTATTTAAGATATCTCTAATTATATTCTGACTAGTATAAATAACATTAGATTTATCATCATGTTGTGTGGAGACATCTTAAATGTATCTTTGGATATGAGATTCACTATATAAGATTTATCCATCCATCCATCCATCCATCCATCCATCCATCCATCCATCCATCCATCCATTTTCTTCCGCCTATCCGGGGTCGGGTCGCGGGGGCAGCAGCTTCAGAAGGGAGGCCCAGACCTCCCTCTCCCCAGCCACTTCTTCCAGCTCCTCCGGGGGAACYCCAAGGCGTTCCCAGGCCAGCCGAGAGACATAGTCCCTCCAGCGTGTCCTGGGTCTTCCTCGGGGCCTCCTCCCTGTGGGACGTGCCCGGAATACCTCACCAGGGAGGCGTCCAGAAGGCATCCTTACCAGATGCCCGAGCCACCTCAACTGGCTCCTCTCGACGTGGAGGAGCAGCGGCTCTACTCTGAGTCCCTCCCGGATGACYGAGCTTCTCACCCTATCTCTAAGGGAGAGTCCAGCCACCCTGCGGAGGAAACTCATTTCGGCCGCTTGTATCCGGGACCTCGTTCTTTCGGTCATGACCCAAACAAAGCTCATGACCACAGATGAGGGTAGGAACGTAGATCGACCGGTAAATCGAGAGCTTCGCTTTCTGACTCAGCTCTCTCTTCACCACGACGGACCGGTACAGCGCCCGCTTTACAGCAGACGCTGCGCCAATCCGCCTGTCGATCTCCCGCTCCGTTCTTCCCCCATTCGTGAACAAGATCCCCAGATACTTAAACTCCTCCACTTGAGACAGGGCGACCCCCCTGACCCGGAGAAGGCACTCTGCCCTTTTCCGGCTCAAGACCATGGCCTCGGATTTGGAGGCACTGAGCTTCATCCCGGCCGCTTCGCACTCGGCCGCGAACCGCTCCAGCAAGAGCTGCAGATCTCGTTCCGATGAAGCCAACAGGACCACATCATCTGCAAAAAGCAGAGATGCGATCCTAAGGCCACCAAAATATATAAGATTTAATTAATGCAAATTTCCGACTTTTTATGTTCTGTAAATTGTATTTAAAACAAAGCTGCTGCTGTTGATCATTCTGTTTTCATAAACCCCACCCCCAAGGCCAATACTCTAGAGAAACAGTTTTTTGAAGATGTTCCTGATAAAACAATCGACTGTTAGTAACTCAGTCTAAAATGTTTGCATCTGTTTAATCAGATGTCATATATTATATACCTCTGTATAACCATGTTAATATTTTTGTAGTACAAAGTACAGTACATGTTTTTCTTATTTTATCAAAATTTGAACATTTTTGTTTCGGGCAGGTAACTTTTCATGTCAGGCAGGTAACATTTGTTGTCACCTGCCCGACACGGCAGGTAAAAAAATAAAATCTTGTCRAACCCTGGGAGATTTAATAAGAAGGTACGCAAGATATAAACAGGACATACTAAAGACATAAAAAATGACATATTTGAGATGTAAACAGAAAGTAATTGAGATATAAACAGAATTTAAGCAAGATATAAAAAAACATAATAAAGATATAAACAAGACAAAATGAAGATATAAACAGGATGTAATCAGGACAAAAACAGGACATAGGCAGGAAGTGATGAGGAYTTGGGATGAAACCAGTTGAAATCACCTGACCCTGAGCTTAAACCTGACCCTGAGCCTAAACCTGACCCTGAACCTCTGTGTGGTCTTACCTGGGGCAGCTAGGCCTCAGAGGGCGGTCCCCTCCTCATGAATCTCCTCCAGTCTCGCTCTGACACAAAGATACTTCACCGGCCCACCCGGTGTGACGGCTGTGGGCTGGAGGCCCACTGAGCACGCTCACTTCTTAATGGCTAAATTGGGAAGACTGTTACTAATCGCTTATTGAATAATGAAAGTGACACAGCTGATAAAAGATTTCAATATGCTGGATTATTTATAATATTTCACTTAAAGCTCTCAGGATGACTGATGGGGGGGCGAGCCGAGGGATGACGGGCCGGGGAGGTGAAGATGAAATGCTAGCAGAGGAATGGAAGCTGAGAGGGAGAGGAGGAAGTTAGGAACCCAGAGGAGGAAAGGAGGAAGTAAGGAAACTAAGGAAGGAGAGGAGGAAGTAAGGAAACTAAGGAAGGAGAGGAGGAATTAAGGAAACCAGAGGAAGAGGTAAGGAAACCAGGAGAAGAAAAGGAGAACCTTAAAGGAATAAGGAGAGAAGGATGGTTGCGAGAAAGGAAACAGGACAGAGAATCGATCTGTCACTTAGACAGCCAATCAGCTTGTCAGCTTCTTGTTGCCGCGGTGATAAAGAGAGGAGCATTACACATCTGCTACCATCGCCACATCTGTTCAACCATCCATGGAGCRTTGAGTGGAGATAAAATCATCCAATTATCACCACAAAATAAAAGAATAATAACTACAGGCTGATTTATGGTGGGTGGGTCTGTTCAGTGATTAGCCAATCAGAACGCTGCTGTTGTTATAGCAGAGGAGCAGTGACTTTTTCTGGTTGTTTGAAATTTAAAAAATTGCTTTTTAGTTGGTCAWAAAGAAGATGTAAACCTCTGAACTTCGAATCTCCATTTGTTTTCCTAAAATAACTATTTTACTATTTTTTTATTTTTTATAATAAACAAAAAAACAGAGACACAAAGTTCAATAAAAACAAAAAAAATGTTGATGAACCTGATGAAGACTTTGTTTGGTTTGGTCAGAAGGTGTTTCACCTCAATTCATAGAGAGAAAAACTACAAATATGGTCGACAGAAGAAGAGAGGTTGATTCAAATTTGGATTTGGACTTTGTTTCCGTCTGGTTCTGAACTTAATTTTAATCTGGTTTTGAGCTGATTTAACTAGTTTTTGACCTGCCTTGACTTGGTTGGAGTTGGTTTTAAACAGGTTTGTTTGAAGTTGGGTTTAGACTTGATTTGAAGCTAGTTTTGGACTTGCTTTAGGTTAATTTTCACCATTGCTTTAAACTGGTTTTGGTTGTGATAGCACTGATGACCTTTGCTTGCAGAGAATCTGTTACAAACTCAGTGTGTTCACATGTGCTGACAAAAACAAACGAAAGCCACCTGACAGATCAGGTAAATATGATTCATGCTGTAAACCAGATTTTACAGCCATGGAACCAGTTTCTATCTGACCTCAGAGCCAACAGGTGACTAATGTTCAGAATTTCTGGTTAATGTAGTGAAAGTCCACTTTCTGAGTTGAGACATAAAGACCCAGAGTATCAGACCTGATGAGAAGATGGGTGGGGAGCTGACAGAATGACAAGATGGAGGAGATCCTTACCTCCCTGAGGAGGTCTAGAGTCTCAGGTGATCACATGACTGCGTTTCCCAACCCAGGTTCTGAATTCTTCTACCACATAAATACACTTTTTTTCAAATATAAATCTTAACAAATGGTGGACAAGTTTGTGGATTGTTCAGCATTGATTCAGGAAGTGTGAATACGAACCCAGGTGGGGAAAGTGTGAGGTGAGGGGGAGGGGGATGGGGTTACCTTCAGCAGTACCGGAGAGGCCGTCGACTTTGAAGTTACTGGTGCTCTTCTTCCTCCGATGCTTCTTTCGGTTGGCGTGAGGAGACGGAGGAGGCTCCATCTTGGGACTGGTGGTGCTGGAGATACTGGGACTGGAGCAGACTGAGTCGACCAGGCTTGGGTCTGCAAATTCAAACAAACATAAAAAAATCAATATCAGTATGAAGAACTTCATCTAAAACTTTAAATATTCATACCTGCAGTTTTTTTGTTTAACCTCATATTGTAGCATGAGATACTTTTTGTATTCCTCACCTATCCTCATGTTTGCAATTATTCTTTTATCTAATACATAGAAGGCAGCGCCTTCATGGATGCAGCCGCCTGCACCTGTCCCCCCTTGTTTTTGTCTCTCGAGGATGGGTGTGGTAATCTTATTGTGCTCATGTAAAATGGCAATAAAGGCATTCAATTCAATTCAGGGCCTTAATGAACTTCATCTTCTTTAAGAGGTGGACTGGATCTGTTCTTAAGAGTCAGACTGGTTTGGTTCTTGGGTTTGGACTGGTTTGGTTCTTGGGTTTAGACTGGTTTGGTTCTTGGGTTTAGACTGGTTT